CACACACACACACACACACACATACACACTTCTTTCCAGATTCACATATACTTCCCCTTTCTGCAGAGACACACTTAGGGAGGCCCCCCCTGAGTGCACTCAAAGACACACAGAAATCTCCTCATACTCTTCCACAGAAATTCCTATGAAAAAATTCCTTCAGGTGTGAAGGAACCTTAAGAATAATTGCAGCTGCTTTTTATTTTTCATTTGGGGAAAATGAAGCCCAGAGAAAACATGTGGCTTGCTGTAAGACAGTACATGAAGAGAGTGTCAGAACCCAGGCTTTTGATACCCAGGCCAGAATCTCAAGTCAACTGCATGGCTGAGCAGGCTCCCACACTGTAAAAAAACCACAGTCACTTCCCCACTGTGGACACTACATATATGACAGGAACAGAATCCTGGAGAGGCAGGTCCTACATGAGATGCGCGCACACACACATTCTGCCAAGCGCTCCCTATCATGTACATGCAGCTGCTCAGCTGCTATATCCTCCTAAGCTTGCTCCTTGAAGAGTTTTACTGGGAACCAGACTCTCAGACCTTGGGCTGGGGTGGGTTGGGAATGGGGACTGGAGGCCAGCCTTACCCTGCTTCCAACCTGAGACCAGTGTTATTGGTGAAGAGAACAGGGAAGGCAGAGAGATAGATGTATTGGTTAGGGGCATGAGGACAGGTCATACCACGCCTGGAGAAAAAGGAAAGGGGTGAATGGGAGGAAGAGGCAAAAGAAGGCAGTGATCTGATGAGAGGGGGACAATATCTCCTTGGACAACTTTATCAGACTTCCCATCTAGAGAAGAAGGGAAAACACAACAAGGTACACTGGCTTACAGGAGTCATATAGAGAGGGCTCCCAGGTTCTGGGACCCACCCCCATTGCCTTGGGTCTTTCTTTCTTCCAACTTGTTTGCTGGTCAGTCTGGGTCTGGGGGATTCATGGCTTTGCTGAGGTGGGGTCAAGCCCTGGCTTTGTGATCCCTCTCCCAGCTCATACTGCTGGCCTCCCTGCCTTCCAGGTCTCCCCACCTCCAGACTGTGGCTTTGGAGAGGGGAACAGGGTGCTGGGGGAGGTCCCTCAAGCAACTGAACAAGAAACCCCCACCCCTCTTCAGCCCCTGGGGTAGAGAGAGACCCGGTTTTGGTTTCTCCGGCTCCATGAACACACAGAGGTACACGTCCTACCATAGGAGGAAGCAATGACTGTTACGAGGTTGGCGGCTGTAAGGGATGTAGGGCCAGGGGCACGACGACGAGCTAGGGAGGGATCAGCCCCTGCCTGGTCCAACCTGGCCCGTGTTGGCGCCTCCCCTTGCAGCCGCAGCGGCCCCGCCCGCTACTGAATGTGGCAGGCGGTGGAGGATGTGGCCTGGCAGCACATGCAGGTGGGGTTCACGGACTTGGGGGGGATGAGGTCTAGGTCTTCGTCGTCGGGGATCTCATCTAACCGATAGCCATCCTTCAGCAGCTGGATGTTCAAATCTTGGTTGATCTGCTGTAGGCAAAGGGGAGGGAGGTCAGGCTCTGGTCGGTGGGAAGGCCCTGCACCCACTAGGGCAGTCACTCCACTGCAACCACCCAACCCATCCCAGGCCTCTCCAAAAGTCCAGGCACTTCCCTTTATAGAACCCACCCCAGCTCTGGCCTCACTTCCTTCGGTGCACATTTTCCACACATCTCTACAGATCCCTACTCACTCCAAAGACTACTGCTCACATCTAGCCGTTCTTCTGTTAGGGTTTTGCTCAATTTCAGGTCTACTTCTATAAGGTGTCCCATATATTTCACACTCCATTCTATTTAAGAGCCCTGCTCCAATAACCCTGGCCCCTAATCATAGGCTTCCTGCAGTTGAAGCTAATGATTCATATGCTATCCTATCTAGCCCCAGCTCCACGCGGAGCTCTGTCCCCACAGGGCTCTGCCCAGCTGTGCCTATTCCTCTTCTCCAGGTGCTTTGGCTTTGGCCTCACCCTGGGCTGCTTGATAGAGGTGGTCCTGCTCAGGTGTGTCTAGGGCGGCAAGGGGTGGGGCCTCACCTCAGCAGAGGAGTAGCCAGATGAGGAGTATCTGGACATGTCAAAGTCATCATCGCTAGCCGTGGAGAAGAGAGGGCAGAGAAGAAATGATTCCAAGAAATTAAATAGAAAACTCCCTGCACCCCCACTTCCATCGGTCAATACCACACCCAGCCCCATGACACCAAATGTCAAGTTCTAAATAAAATCTATGCATGCTGTGTAAATTCAGGTTTTAAAATGAAGATTCCCCAGCCCCACCTTTCTAAATAAATTATTTGGAAATAAGTTATTTCTTCCAAACAGAACTGCTACTCCCTTCACTGCATCCCTATCCCCACCTCCTGCCCCCATTAGGCTCAAATCAACCCCACTTGTTGGATTCTCCCAAACTCTAGGTCTAGCCAGATGTTTTCTGAGGAGTAGGGCTCTTCCCTTACAAAGAGTGGGTCATTAAGCATCCATCCTACTTCCCAGATTCAACAACAGGGCCCACCAAAGAGTAGCCAGCTGTTCCAGGATAGCAGAACACTGTGCTGGTCCTCCTTTCCTCTCTCTCTTCCCACCCTCTTTCTTCTAAAAAATTACATGCCCTGAGGAATTCACCCGTGCAGAGCTCCTAATTGAGGAATACACCAATTCTAGCAATATAGCAGGTGTGACCTGTATGTGCTCACACAGGTTCATATGGCTTGCCTGGCTGTCCCAAGACCGTGTACACACCTGTCCGTGTCTAGAGCTACCAGTGGCTTCTCATCTGGGCTCTGGTCAAGCGAGGAGTAGCCTTTATTGGGGACGACCAGCCTGGGTGAAAAATTTTGGAGTTGGAATGGAGACTGGAACACAAACCTGGCAGGGGACTGGGCTGAGCCTTGTTTCATTCACTCCCTCCCTTCCCTCTTCCCTCCCTCCCTCCCTGCCTTAGACCCCCACCCTAGGACAGAGGAAAGAGGAAGAGACTCAGGACCAGCAGAGATATGTGCTGGCTAGCAGCGTCCAGCTGGGGTAGAGAGGTCTCTACCTCGTCCGGGCCATGACATTGTTCTTCTTGGGTTGTTGGTTGACAGGGCTGCCCATGCTGCCATTCTTCAGAGAGCCCTTCCGGGCCAGCTCCCGCTGCTTCTCTGCAAGGGAATATGGGAAGGAAGCTGTGTCCTGCCCCAGGTAACCCTATTTTACCACTTGGGGCAGACAGGGCCCTGCCTCCATTGTGAAAGCCCTTGGTCCTCCATGAACTGAGGTAGGAATCCTAACTCCAGGCTTCTGCTACTCAGTAGAGATGGTACTTGTCCCTGCATAACTTGAGGTAGATAGTAGGAGGCAAAAGGAGAAGGCTGAGCCTTGCCTTGAAGGAGCCACAGCTCCCATATCAGGTAGTCAGTGTGTGCTTGATGCCAAGGAAAAGCTGGAGAGAAAGAGATGATCACAGGATGGAGCAATCAGGGAGGGCTGCCTGTGGGTGACATTATGAGTTGGACAAAGAAGGGCACTCTAGGAAGGAGGGAATCATATACAAAAATGCATTTAGAAGAGAACTTAAGTATGCATCTGGATAGATCTAGAAGGGTGAAGAGGGAGAGAGGTAAGTTTGGGAAAGGAGCCACTTATTGAAAAACTCCTAACATTGGAGTTACTAATCATGTGTCAAGTCTTGTGCTAAGAAGCTAGAGACCCCCTCTGTTTACAAACTCAGAACATGAAGGCCTTGAATGTTACACTGAAGAGTTTGGAATTAATGCAGAAAGAAAAAGGGAGCCACTGAAGGTTTTAGAGTGGAAGAAACAGAAAAGGGCAGGCAGGGTAGAGGTCATGAGGCTAAGGGAGCCCATTTTGCTATACTGCCTAAGCAATGCTCCTGACTCCCACCAGTCTCTGAGTTCTCTTAGGGTCCAGAGCTTACCAGGCTCATGGGACTGGCCATCAGGTGACCCACTGCTTGGTATATGATAACTGTTACCATTAGTAGCTAGCCGCCTGGGTCCTGGAAAAGCCCGTCTACTCTTTTCTACTCATCTCAAGTAAAGTCTAGATTTAGGAAAACAGCCTGTTTAGTGAAAAAGACACTAGGGAAGTTGTCTCATAAAATAACTGCATGCTCCAGAGTGTAAGAATGGAAGGGTCTTTATAGCTATTTCACTTTATTTATGATGTTGTGGAATGAGCATAGGGGAGCTTTACCACCAAGGTACATTCTTAGCCCTTTAAAATTTTTTTTTTTTTTTTTTTAATTTGGAGACAGGGTCTTACTAAGTTGCTTAGGGCCTCCTAAGTTACTGAGGCTGGCCTTGAACTTGTAATCCTCCTGCCTTAGCCTTTCAAGTTGTCAGGCCTGGCTGTGATTCACTTTAAAATATCCCCTAACCTCCATGTCTCTAAATTTCTCATTTTATATTCTCTGACTTTTTTTTTTTTTTTTCACCACTGCTTGTCTGGCTCCTTTAGCTTTTCCCCAGCCTCTTTCAGCAGACAGCATCTGCCATAACCATCCATGCCTCTAGAGGGTGCAATTTGCCTAATAGTTCCTGGTGGTGATTTTCCTTAGTGCAACTGGCAAAAGTTGTGAATTTTCATGAGAAGCTTTAGTGGTAATGTAACAGAGAGAAAACAAAACATTATTTTAAAGAATGATAAAATTGTTGGAAAGAGTGGAAAAATGCAAACAACAAACTAGCAAAAACCAAACTATGGACTATTATGCAGTCATTTAAAATAATAAAATTTTTGCTATATACTGATGTTCAAAGGGGAAGACTTTTTTATGTGGAGGGGAGGAGAACAACTTTCAGAAAGTGTGTACAATGTGATACCATTTGTGTTAAAATACAAAATAAAACTATACAAATTAAAAAATAAAAAACCCTTAGAATGATTACCTCTTGAGGGGGAGGGAAGAATGATTACCTCCGGAGAAAAGAAACTGATGGGTGAGAGTAGAGGAGAACTTATTCTCATTAAAATACAACAAATTAAACAATAACAAACAAAAATGGCTGCAATTTTAGTATTATGTCCTAGGAAGATGAATAATTCCACTGAGAAAAATGTTCTCCTGTTCAGGAAATCAGCTCAAGGGGCTCCCTAGATGTGGTTTGGAAGGAGAAAAACAAAGTAAAAGAAAAACAAAACAAAACAAAAATGTGAATTAAAAGAACAGAACTCTGGGGCTGGGGTGTGGCTCAGTGGTAGAGTGTTTGCCTAGCACACATGAAACTCTGGCTTTGATCTCTAGCACAGAAAAAATAATAAATTTATTTCTGAAAAATAAAATAAAGGAGTCTTGGCAGATGTGAGGAAGAAGGTTTGTGAAGGGATGGGAAGAGGCTCTTAGGACTGAGGAAGGGCCCACTATTGGTGAGAAGTTGGAATCTGAGGAGAAAGATGGCTGGGAGGATGGCTGGGATGGCAGAGGAATTTTGAAGAATACTGATGACTTATATTTGCAAGCTCTTCTCTGTGTGTACTGTGCTGTAATTAGTAAAAGTCTATTATCTACACCAGCCTGAGGTCAGTGAAATTTTGGTCCCTAAAGGGAGAAAGGCCAGTAGTTAGCATAGGGTGAGGCATAAACCTTCAGGAGCTGTGGGTGGTGATGGGGAGCCAGATGACTTCAAAGGAGTCATTGTATAGTAATCTAACATTGATGGACATGAAATAAACCTCCAAGGAAAAGGTGATGAGATATCTGGAAAGGTGGAGATATTTAGGTTACTAAGGAAATAAGGGACTGCTTCTCGAGATGGGAATCAATAAAGTCCTGAGACCTCCAGGTGGGATAAGGTTGGACTGGGGAGAAGGGCTCATCTGCTAGGCTTTGGAACTCACATTCTTTTCTATCCCTCGGACAGAACTGACAGCCCACCTCTAAGTCAGCTTCCTCTTACCTGAATCCAGTGTTTGATGGGACTTCTAAGTCCTCTCCCTGTGGTATCATGCTTTTACCTCTGAAGCTATCTCCTAGAACTCCTGGAGCCTTCTTGGCCTCAGAGATGCCCCCTGGAATTTCAGGATTCTGCAGAGAACTGTAACTGCCTTCTTAGCCTTGCAGGAGATAAGCAACTCAGGCTAGTAATTACAACATGCAAGCCACTATGCTGGCTTGCATGTTGTAATCACTAGCCTGAGTTGCTTTATTTGTAGTACCTCACTGTAGACCCAGCCCAGAGGACCTTGTTCATGTCCCACATCTCCCTCACCCCCAGGACACACTCACCCAGCTTCACTTGGAGCGGGGATGGTTTGTAATTCATGGCTACTGACTCACCCTCCCGGGCGTCACAGTCTCCGTCTGAGATGGAGGCGGCGGCTGGGTCCTGTGAGGAGAAAGCAGAGAGACAAACAGTTGTTAGCAAGTGAGCACAGAGGGGGCTGCTCTTGGCCCTGAAGCAAGCCTTTCCAACTGTCCTCCAGGCTTCCGGGAGTGTTTGCCCTGGGCAGCAGGCTGAACATTAAGAGACGGAGGGGCAGACTCACCTACCATGGGACAAAAATGTAAACCTGGACAGAAGAGCCAAGGATCTTGGTCTCACTAACACCATTTAATGTATATCTTCAAAGTTCTGTGAGATCCAGGCTCCTCCAGAAAGCCCACCATGATTCTGCTATTTTTTTGCTCCCAGGGATTGAACCCATGGGTGCTTAACCACTGAATCACTTCTTTAGCCCTTTTTACTTTTTACACTGAGACAGTGTCTTGATAAATTGCTGAGGCTGGCCTTTAACTTGCAGTTCTCCTGCCCCAGCCTCCCAAATTGCTGGGATTATAGGTATGTGCCACCATGCCCAGCTCAATACGATTTCCTTAAACCCACAGGACCTCCTCTCCAAACTTTCATACTTGTTGCCCTACTCCTCAGGCCTTCTTGTGTACTTGCTAGTTCCTGGGGACTTAAGTATGGATCAACATCAGAGATGGTTCTCCCTGAGGTGGGTCTTCTTCTTCCATTTCTCCTAATGCTAAATAGGTCCTTTGCAGAATCTAGAGAACGAACTGGCCAAGCCAAGCCAGATTACAATCCTTAAGCAAGTGGACAAAAACAAACAAACAAACAAATCAGTTCTCAGATGGGTCCCAAGGAGTGTCTCCTGAGAGAATCTGAAAGGTTGGCTGTACATAGTAGGCAAGAAGACAAACAATGACAAATTACCAGGTATACAGTTTGTTTTTGCTGCCCAGAGTACAAAACACTTGCTGCTATAGATGACAAGGAAGGTAGGAGAGCATGCAATTCTGTGTGTTGTCCAGGATGTGCAATCTTCTCAATCTCCCTTGACACCGTCCTCATAGCCTCTACCCCTGTGGTAAGCCCTGGGCTGACCAGAGTACTTATCTAACCTAGCCACCCCTTCAAAATACCATCCTTTGCTACAAGATTCAGGACCCTGGCCTCCCCTTCCTCAGCCAGTTGGAAGGGACTGGAGGTACCCATATTTTCCCTGAGAAGCTGATAACCAATTCTTGAGATGGATGCTACCATCCCATGCATTTTTACATTTTAACAAGGGACAACAGAATGGAAGCCTAAGGTATAAGGACTGCAGAGGGGATCCAGGGCTGCTGCCTATTCTGCCTTTGAAGATGCAGAAAATAGACAGAAGATAGAATGCTCCAAGACTGGCTCCACCAGGTCAGGCTCAGGGATTTGTGTGGCTGCTGGTGACTCAGTAAGGGAGAGTGTTATGGGTTAGATATCAGGCATTCCCCAAAATCTCACGTGTGAGACAATGCAAGAACATTCAGAGGTGAAATGATTAGGTTTTGAGAGTCTTAACCTAATCAGTGCATTAATCCCCTGATAAGGATTACTGATAAGGATTATCATGGGCAGGTAGGGTGTGGCTAGAGGAGGTGGATCATTGGGGGTGTGCCTTTGGGGTATATATTTTGTCCCTGGAGAGAGGAGCTATCTTTTTCTTTGTTTCCTGGTACAATTCCCTGAGCTGCTTTCCTCTGCCATGCCCCTCCTGCCATGATGTTCTGCGTCACCTTAGGCCCAGAATAATGGAGCCAGCTATCGACAGACTGAGACCTCTGAAACTGTGAATCCCAAATAAACTTTCTCTCCTTTGTCAGTTCTTTTGGTCACAGTGATGAAAATGCTAACTAAAATAGAAGGTTATATGGCATATAGTGGCTCTGTTCCTTTAAAAATGAGGCAGTAGTCAAAAACACATGCTTGTCACTAGGGATAAAGGAAAAGTCTAGAATGTTTGTGAGGGAAATCCTATCCTTGTTTGTGTTACTCCAGGCCATTCAGAGCATAAGGTCCTGGTTGGACTATGTTGCCAAGGTTGTTTGCAAGTTCCTGAGGGCAGAACTTGGGCCTCCCTCCTCTGCTCTGATTCTTATCCCTTAGTCATGGTTGAGGGGGAGGTAGACAGGGGGCCTTGTTCTGAAAGGTGGGGTGCATCTCAGGCAACTTCCCAGGCTGTGAGCCCTTCCAATCTTTATCCTCCCAGGCTCAGCAGCCTCCCTGGGAGGCTCCTCAGAGATAGCACCTGCCCCTACAGCCTTGGAGAAACAGGTCCTAGTGACCCTCACATGCCTTTCTTTCTTTCTTTTATATATATTTAGTTGTAGATGGACAAAATACCTTTATTTTATTTACTTATTAATTTTTATGTGGTGTTAAGGATCGAACTCAGTGCCTCTTACATGGGAGGCACACGCTCCACCACTGAGCTATAGCCCCAGCACCCCCTCACATGCCTTTCTGCAACCACAATGTCTTCTTAGCTGCTACCTGTAGTAGAGGTGGAGACCCAACAGCTGGGTTCTGGTATTCCCCTTGGGCCACAAGAAGGGTCACCTCCAAAGCAGCCAGAGGGAGACCTTTTCAAAGGGTGCATCCTATAAGTGTGTTGGTGGGATTCTTCCAGGGAAGTTCTGGTATATTTCCAAGTTCCTTGGTCACATTCCTCCAGATTTTCTGTAGTATTTGTCACATGCTACCCATACTTCCTCTATTGGGAAATGGCTTTCTTCCCTGGCTTTCAGCATACTGTGCTCCCTTGGATTACCTCTTGCCTCTTTAACCACCACTTCTTTGTGCTCCTATTGCTCTTTGTCTCCTCTTCAGGGTCATATCCTCAGCCTTCTCTCTCCTAGATAAAGCCTGATGTCTCCTATAGTTTGGATTGACATTTTTACCCTAGAGACTCCTAAATTTGTGGCCTTCAATCCATGCATCTCCTCCTTAATCCTCTACCCCATTGATCACATGAGAGTGTTAGGTATTGCTGTTCTTTCTCTGAAGTTAATTTTTACTTCCTAGTGCAGATAAGTTACTTAGCATCTTTTTTCAGGTTGGAGGTGTTAGTAATAGCACTGGAGGTGAATTGCACAGGAAGGAAAGGTCCTGGGGTGAGGACTTGGAAACTAGTGAGCAACTTTGGTCAAAGTGACCCATGTGTGGCTCCCAATGCCCACTGGGGAGTTCTTGGTGTTATCTGATTCTGAAGAGAACTGACAGCTCCTTTGGGCCATGAGTCAGATGGCAAAGGCCTAAGCTTAGAGGTCCCACACAAAGCCCAGCATTTAGCTTCTCCTCCATCAGTGTCCATGATAGAGAGCCACATTTAAGTGGCAAGCACAAAGCCCACTACTATGGGTTTCCTGTATACATTCCCTGAGAAACTCAATGCACCAGGTCTATCACATGGAGATATAATCAGGGAGAATAAATGTAAAATATTCATGAATGGAAGTATCAGAGAGGAAATGTCTGGCTCCAAGAAATCAGGGAGAATTTAAAATGTYCCCCAAGGACATCCGACAGGCGTTAGCTAGATCCGGGAACTAGAGTGGGGATTAACAAGATTATTAATAAACACTCAGCAGAGACAGACACTGAAATGCATCACTAGCAGCAATCCCTGTTCCTGCAACCATTCAAACAAATTCTCCAAAGACTGCAGAGATGATTAATGGCCTAGGCTTACTATTTCTGGGACAGGATATATAGGCTAATGGCCAGTGCAAAGCCAATATAGCTAGAGAAAGGCAAAAGTGCCAGAATAATCTTTAGTCTGGTCCAATGATTTTCATTAAACTGTGTTCCCTAAATTCTGTGCCTAGGGAGAGACTGAGTATGAGGTGGGGAGCAATAGGGATGGGGGTCTGGCTTTTCTTTAACCTGAAGAGATCCACCTTTATTTTATCTACATATAAACCTTTCTGTAAGATTTTCATTAGTAAAGGGTTCTATTACTTTAAAAAGGTTAACATCTGTTGATTTAATCTATTCTGGTCCTCAAAAATGTTTTGTTATGGAAACCATTAGGGAAAGTAAACAATACAGTAAGACTCTGGGTATCTATCACCAGTTTCAACATCAATTTATTAAATGATTTTTTTTTTTTGTGGTAGAGGGACTTGAACCCACAGATGCTTTACCACTGAACTACATTCCAAGTCCTTTTTATTTTTTATTTTGAGGCAAGGTCTTGTTAAATTGCTAAGGCTGGCCTCAAGGTTGTGATCCTTCTGTCTTAGCCTCCTGAGTTGCTGGGATTAGAGGTGTGTGTCACTGTGCCCAGTTTAAGAGTAAGGAAACCTGCCCAGCGCAATAGTGCATGCCTATAATTCCAGCAACTCAAGAGGCTGAGGCAGGAAGACTGTGAGTTCAAAGCCAAAGCCATCTTCAGCAATTTAGCAATGCCCTAAATAACTTAGTGAGACCCTGTCTCGAAATAAAATATAAAAAGGGCTAAGGATGTGGCTCAGTGGTTATGTGCCCCTGGGTACAATCCCTGGTACCAAAAAAAGTAAGGAAATCTGCCAAGGTGTGGTGGTATAYACCTGTAATCCCAGGTACTTGGGAGTCTGAGACAGGAGGCTCACAAGTTTTAGACTAGTTTGGGCAATTAAGTGAGACCCTCTCTCAAAAAGGGTTGGGGATGTGGCTCAGTGGTTGAGTGATTGCCCACCATGCATGAGGCTCTGAGTTCAATTCCAGTACTACAATAATATCAACAAATAAATACATAAGGACATGTGGACCCAGAGTGGAAATCTTACCCAAGGTCACTGATAAGTTACCCAAGGTCACTTTTAGCTGGGTGCGGTGGCAAATGCCTATGGTGCCACACGCCTATGATCTCAGTGGCTAGGGAGGCTGAGGCAAAAGGATTGTGAGTTCAAAGCTAGCCTCAGCCTTGGGGAGGCACTAAGCAACTCAGTGAGACCCTGTCTTTAAATAAAATACGAAATAGGGCTGGGGATGTGGCTCAGTGGTTGAATGCCCCTGAGTTCAATCCTGGGTACCCAAAACAAACAAAAAAGAGTTAATGACTTTCAAAGCATGCAAAGGAG